ATGAATAAGGAAGACCGAAGAAGAATTGGTACCTTTGAATTGTGGTGTTGAAGAAGAATATTGAATATAACATGGACTGCCAGAAGAACGAACAAATCTGTCTTGGAAGAAGAATGCTCCTTAGAAGCAAGACTGGCCAGACTTCATCTCTTACTTTGGTCATGTTGTCAGAAGGGATCAGTCCCTAGAGAAAGGTATCATGTTTGGTACAGCAGAGGGTCAACGAAAATATGTGAAGACCCTCAGTGTGGTGGATTGATTCATGGCAGCAATAATGGCCTCAAGTGTAGTAACAGCTGTGAGGGTGGCACAGGACTGGGCAGTGTTTCATTCTTTATTACACAGTGTCATTGAGTTGGAACCAACTCGACATCACCTAACAACAACATTCAGGGACTTTAGGTTGTTTTCAATTTGGGGTTATTTCAAACCATGCTGTGGTAACTATTTTTGACATAAATCTTTGCCCACATGTCTACTAATTTCTGAAGGATAAATTCTTGGACATGGACTGGTCAAAAAATAGATAAAATGTTGATGTTGATAAATTTTGTCAAGGTATCGCGCATGACTTTGCCAACTTGCGTTGCTCTCAACAATTTGATAGAGTGCCCTTTCACACACATTATCATCAACCCTAGGCATCTAGGGTTGTTAATCTGATGGTAGAAAAGAACTTAAGTGATTATAATTCTCATTTGTCCAAACAGGAGTGATTTGGGAGTCTACTGTCATATGCTTATTGGTCACATGAATTTCTTTTTTTTGTGAATTCAGTATTTTCTAATGGAGTATTTATGTTTTGCATATTGAATTATGAGAGATTTTTATGTAGTAAGAATGTTAGCACTTTGTCAGTTTTTTTTTTTCCTTTTTATGCAATTAAATACAGCAGCAGAAAATATCAAATTGCATTACTTACGGAAGACCCCATAGAACTTTTGTTACTGATACCTGTTATGAAATGTTGGCTACCACAAACATATTATAAGCTCTGTGAGGACTAGGACTTGTCCCATATTCTAAGACCCACTATTTAGCATAGTGTCTGGTAGTTAGTAGATATTTAGTACAGGTTTCTCAAAAGAAAGAATGTGACTTTCAGGAATGTCTGGCTGTCAGAGATAAATGATGTGAACAGAGAACACATGGTGGCAGATTCTTTCTTTTATTTAATTTTACAATCAATGATTTGTAATTAAAATACTTGTAAGTGGAGAGAACTGGTCCATCCAGAAGGACTGTCTCAGTGTTTTGAGTAGATACTTTAGACCAGGGGTGTGGGCCCTCAGCACTGTAGGCTTCGCCAGGCACTTGCCCTGAAAATGAATCTTTGAGAATATGAAGACAGGCCTCCAATCTAGAACCACATTTATTGACTGAATCATTAGTTTAGACTTAACAGAAAAGAAGACGGCGGAACCCTTAAAAATCCAAGTTTTCTTTTTTTGGTTTCTTCATACTTTACAACATAATTGACTCTTCATTTCACATGCCATGGAAAGCAGAGCCACGCATTCCAAACAAAGTCCAGAATTTGCTTCATGAATTTGATTTCTAAGATTATTTCAAAGATTATTTAATACAGGACAGCATAAATTATGCTGCAGAACTCTTACATTGAGACTTTTTTTTTTTGGTGTGTGGTAATTCATCTCTTGATAAATATATATTTATTACAAACAAAAACCCAAACCCACTACCATTGAGTGTATTCTGACTCATATGACCCTACAGGACAGAGCAGAACTGCCCCACAGGGTTTCCAAAGCTGTAAATGTTTACAGAAGCAGACTGCTTCCTTCTCCCATGGATTGGCTGGTAAATTCAAACCCCTGACCTTTTGGTTAGCAGCTGAAATGCTTTAACCATCAAATGCTTTTGCCACCAAAGCTCCATATTTACTCAATTTATTAGAAGTCAAGAGATTTCTCTAGGAGTTGATCTATTTTATCTATATTGTCTGCTTTCCCCCCACTTTCCCCAAAGTATTACTAAAGCCAGTCAGGTGGAGACATGTAGGGGTAGATCTAAAATACCTGCTTTGTTTTTTAAGTGTTTTTAAGTTCTAGTCCAAAAGGAGCTCTGGTGGCATAGTGGGTAAAGGATTTGGCTGCTAACCAGAAGGTCAGTGGTTCAAACCCATCAGCTGCTTCATGGGACGAAGATGAGACAATCTACTTTAGTAAAGACTTATAGCCATAGACGCCCAATGGGTAGTTGCTATGAGTCAAAATTGACTTGATGGTAGTGGGTTTGGTTTTGGTTGGTTCCAGTTCAAAAGCAATGAGACCAGTGTTTTAGATCCTAATATATAGCCACAGAGGTCAGGTATTTCACTTTGAACAAAAACAACATATTGATCTGGGCATTTTATCCGCACCCCTCCAGACATGGTCTACATGTGCAAAACTGAACACCAAAACTATTATATAGATACATATGGAGCCAGCTTCATGGGTGTGTGACATACGCAGTTACACAGGGCCCTGCACACTGAAGCTTAGGTTAAGGCTCTGCTGCTGCTATCTTGAACTTCTTAATAATTTCGAGGGACCCTGCATTTTCATTTTATGCGGAGTCCTGCAAATTATGTAGATGGTCCTGAATATACATAAAACTTGCTTTGACCTAGATCATCCAACTTGTGATTTCTGTATTTTTTGGCACTGAAGAGCTGTGGGTAGTTTCCTGATATCTCTTCCCGTGTCCCCAGAATAACCCTAGTTCATAACATTTTCAACGGCATAGAAGTCGCTGGTCACGTGGTTCACTAGGAATGAAGGAAGAAAGCACACAAAGGTGATTTCTGTTTATCTGAGAATCTGTAGATTAGAAATTATGCCTTCAATGGAATATGGAGGAATCAAGCCCAATGTGTATATATACGATCAGCATAATAAAAGAGCTTGTTCATTTGAAGAGCAAATATGTATGCACACATGCCAATAAGCTCCACATGAATATATTCTAGCATTAAGATGATGATTTCAGCAATTTGAATAAAAAGCAGAATGTATGCAAGGTCTGAGCTTGACTATTCTTCATAAGAATAATGAAAACATCCTCTTCCTCACTAGAAAGCATCATTCTTCCTGCTTTCTTCAAAGGAATGACAGGGAATAGTTGGTCTGGAAATGCCATAAAACATCTATCTTCCATTTATAAAGAGGAATAGACATTTCTGTACGGGGCGCAGGGGAGGATACAGCATGACTTTAAAAGGATGAGCACTTGTCTAAGGAGAGGGGTTCTTACTAGATATGTTATGAGCCGGGGGCAGAGAAGCAGTGTGCCTACACCCTTGTAGGTTTTTCCTGTTTTGGTTGCTTATGAGAATTACCTGGGGGAATTAGAAAAAATACTGCTGTCTGGGCCCCATCTCAAACCAATTAAATTATAATCTGAGGATGGGGCTCAGGCAAGGATATTTTTCAAAAGTGCCCCTGGTAATTGTAACTTACAGCCAGGGGTAGATCTAAAATACCTGCTTTGTTTTTTAAGTGTTTTTAAGTTCCAGTCCAAAAGGAGCTCTGGCGGCATAGTGGGTAAAGCATTTGGCTGCTTTACCCACTACGTGAAACACTGGGGTTTTGCAGACACTAAAATGGAGGTTTGGTCCACTACAAATAGGTATCTGTTCAGAAAAGTTAAAAATTAAACACCTATTTATATCTGCCTACACTTAGATAGCCTTCATGCGGAGTTATTTCTATGTAAAGTATTAACAATAGGCAATCTACAATGTTTTTAAAAGTAGTTTAATGATATTTCTAATCACACTAACCATAAATAGCAACATATTTGAGATACTAAATATTTTTTTAAGGAAGATATTTCAATTATTTTCAGGAAATCTGAAGAAATGTGTTGGAGTTTAAAAGTCCTTTAAACCTGGAGGTGGATAGGACAAGTAGTGTTCTCCTGACTTGGAGGACTTTTTAGATATTAGGTATCTTCTCCATTAGAAATGAAAGAAAATAAAATTAATATAAGAAAAAGAAACCACTTTTCAGACCAAAATTTAAAATTAAGGCATTTAGAAACGAATTTGTGTCTTCTAGAATGTCTCATTTAATAACATCCTTTTAAAAAAACCTCTATTAAACGTTTTTACAAATAAGTACCTAAAATGCCAGTAATGCTAAAAGAGAAATTCTTTCTCAAGGAATTTTTGATTTCTAGGGTAAAGGTACTTGATGGCACATAACAACAACAACACAGGGTAAAGGTGTCCTTGAAGATTTCACTCCTTTGTATAACAGGTTGTGGGAGGGTAGGAACTGAGGGAGAAGGGAGGCAGGGAGAAAGTGGGGAGGAAAATGTGAAGGCAAAAAAATGGGTCCTTTTAGTTTTTCCCTGTCTTCTGTGCTGGTGAAGGCTACACTAATTATTTAATTCACTCTTGTGAGCAGAGCTGAGACACATGGTCTCCTTTCTGTTCTTCATATTCACAACCTTGGAACCAGACCAGAAGAGAAGGGTAAAGGCACAAAGGTTCTGATTTTCCATTTTGGGTTTGTTTGTCTCAGTGGTACACTGTGAAAGAACCTGATTGCAAAAGACAATGAAAAGACTAACTCACCTTCCTTGCTTTCAACATCTATAGACACTGAGGGAATGCTTGGGACCATCATTTAAGGAGTGAGACAAAGGTGACAGTGATTATGTTTTTTTCTGTAACGAGCTTGCATAACACAATAATGAAGTCATTGGTCTATTTAACTTAGAATACTCCCCAGCATTACTGAGACAAATAGGGGGGAAAAAAATCAGTCCTGCAAATCAGCCTGGCCCTGACTGTTACCTAAGGAAGCAACTGGCAACGACATTTTTTTTTTTTTTTCTCCAATGAAGAGCTCAGCTAGGAAAAGGGCTGTATTTCTGAAGTTCACAACATTCACAATGTTCTATTACATTTTAAAAATCCAAATTCCATGACCGACAGGCTAATTTAAAGCTTTAGGATACTAATGTGTTTTAAATTCTAGCCCAGAGTATTAGGCTGAATGTTTCTCTCCTTGTTTGATACCAAGAACAAGATGCAGGAACCAGTTAAACTGCACAGTCCATCCTTTGTCTCTGCAAACTTCAATCTGATCAAGAAAATACTTTTTAGCATCCTCCTCGTTTTTCCCCACTGTTAGGGCATCTCGAATGTATTCAATGTCTTCTTTGCTTGTTAACTGGGGCATTCCGGTCATCAGCATCATGGAGAATAGGACGATCAGTAGGTTTGTGTGATGACGAAGGGCTAGATAAGCCCTGACACAGACATTCTGGATCGAGAAGAAAAGGCTGTTAGTAGAGTTATAGTAACTATGTTGGCCAAAGAGCATGGGGATGTGTTGGAATTTACATACCTCATCCATGAAAAAAACAAAAAAACCCATCATAGTTGAGATAGGTTCCCCACCTCAGATGGAAAAAACTTGGTGAGAGCATAAACTGTTTTTATAATCTCTTAAGCATTTGGGTAAAGGTCTGATTCTGGTAGACCATGGTCTTGAGACTGATTCATCTCCAATGCTGGCATGTAGTAAGTGATGACGACTGAAATAGAATTCACGTTCAATGTTTGTGGCTGACTTAAAAACAATCTCAGTACCACGTCTTTATTTCTACAAAGTATGATTTGACTTTGGCATCTTAATTAATAAGGTGATGAAAATATAACTGTAGTTCAACTAGGTCCCATGGCCTCTTCTGGTGTTGAAAGAGAGCTGAGAGACTGTCAGCATTTGACTAGCATTTCTGGTTCTTATCTGCAGGTTGGGGGAGGATGGGTGTTTGTGAGCTGCACTACATAGCTCTGGCCACCAAAGTTGACTGTACTTCAGGAGAAGCACCAGGATTGCTTTTGTTTTGTTTTTAATTTTTATTGTGATTTGGGTGAACGTTTATAGAGCAAATTCACTTTCCATACAGCAGCTCACATACACTTTGGCTCGTGACATTGATTCCAAGGTAGGGTATTCTTAAGTCAGTCAAAGCCAGAGGTGGTTTTACCCATGGTGTTTGTGGCAGCTCAGAAACAGGTAGATCTGGGCTGTCCCAGATCAGCCTTTTTGGAGCTTCTGTGGTCTCAGGAAGGAGGTCTGATGGTGCAGTGGTTAAAGCATTGAGCTGCTAACCAAAAGGTCTGCAGTTTAAACCCACCAGCTGCTCCATGAGAGAAAGATGGGGCAGTCTTCTCTGTAAAGATTTATAGCCTTGGAAAATTGACCCAGCAGTTCTACTCTGTCCTGTAGGGTTGCTATGAGTCAAAATTGACTCAATGGCATGGGTTTGGTTTGGTTTTTGGTGATCTCAGGCAGATAATCTAATTTTCCTTTTCTCATCTCTGTAAATGGATACTAATGTTAGGTTGGGCAATCTACTTCCGTAGTGATACTGCCTCGGCAACCCAAGGAGGGGTCACTATGAGTCGGGTCCGACTCGATGGCACATAACAACAACAACGTTAGTGAAGAAGTCCCTAGGTGGTACAAAGAATTACTGTGCTAGGTTGCTAACCAGAAGGCTAGAGGTTTGAGTCCACCCAGTGGTGTCTGGGAAGAAAAGCTTGGGAAAAACCATTTATTGAAACCCTATGGAACACAGTTCTGTTATGAAAGCCTACGGAACACAGATCTACTGTGACTCACGTGGGGTTGCTAGGAGCCAGAATTGACTTTATTGCAACTAGAGAGGAGAGAGGAATGGTGGTAATGATGCCTGCTTCATAGGGTTGCTGTGAGGACTACATAAGATAAAGCATGCAGAGTGCTTACCCCAAGACCTAATACACAGCCAGTACTTTATTAGCTCTTGCTATTATCAGTATTAGTCTGGAAGACTAAGTGCAAGTCAGAGGGTGAGACAACAACTCAGCTGAGAGAGAGGTAATGGATAAGGTATCTGGCAAAATGGGGTATGAGAACTGGCCACCACTGTCAGGGAACTGAAACCTTGAACAGAGACGGGTGGGAGCCCAGCACTGTCTTCAACTGGGGCTGCAGAAGCATCCTACTCGAGCCTGGCCTGGGCTGTGCAGTGTGAAGGCACTAACTACATAGCACTGGCCACCAAAGTTGACTGTACTTCAGGAGAAGCACCAGGATTGCTTTTGTTTTGTTTTTAATTTTTATTGTGATTTGGGTGAACGTTTATAGA